ACAGTTGCAGAAGGAAATGATGAGGCGACTTAAATTCCACGGAGAACATTGAAGAAGCCGGTCGTTACTCTGATGTCAGAGTAGAAGACACCCGTATTGGATTATAACATTCACTTCGAAAGAGGAAGTAAAGAAGCTGCATTTAGTGTCGCACTGAGAGGTCAACAATAACATTTGCTGATACTGCCTGAGAAGTCGTGCGCTGAATTAGTTGATGCTCTGAAACAGAGATTCACACTCCCAAACCAGAGTTATACAGAGTTAAACTAAGGAGTATGATTCGCAAGAATGGATAATCCTTTCTAGAGTTTACGCAGGCTTAGAGTGGCTTGCGACGTTAAGCGGTGCAGATAGCTATCGAGATAGAGGCGTTCGCTATAGTTGAGCTACAACGACAGGGAGTGAAAACGAGTGTCCGTTGCGTGTTAGCATAGGAAGAGGAAAAAGGGCAAGCGATCAGAAAACTGAGAGCAAAAGACGGAGCTAACGAGATTGGTAACTGAATTTGCGACTAAATTAAGGAGTGCTAAGCAATCGAGACAAGTTCCAGAGCGACGCAGAAACAGAAACTATGACGAACTTATTTGTTACGGATGCGGACAGCTGGGACATATCAAGAAAGATTGCCCTGCTAAAAAGTCATGTAATAATGGTTTGCAACAGACTCCGCTGTCGACGGGTAGCATGAGTTACGACGAGAACGAGAGGAAGAAACGCAAGAGGAATAAAGTTACTTATCGATTTGGAAACCAACCAATCGTATTGTATGTATCTGGTGCCGTTGAAGGGATTGGTCTCAATCTTCTGATTAATACGGGTGCTATCATATTTAGAGAGATCTATATGAGGATTAAACCGGAGAAAATGCCACACCTGATTCCCGTGGCTTATGTCGGTAGACGGGAAGAGACTTTTCGAAATAGGTCTGCGTGACATTCGTCGACGACACAAAATTCTGGTTGCTGACATCCCAGCAAAGGGAATACTTGGATTAGACTTTCTTTTGTTTAACTCGTGTCGACTCGATGTTAATAAGAGTCGCTTTTCCATCGGTACGTTAGAAGGACATGCATGATGCTCCAGAATAATTGTCTCTAAGTCAGTGAACACGAATGCTTGAAATGATTGTTCCAGGAATATTTGACAAGCTGTTATCTTCAGCAGTGCCGGAAACTGAAATGATAGAGCAGTATCAGAAGTGTGGATAGTGCCACGACATCTTAGTCTCAAAAACGTTAGTCAGATCCGGGGATATTAATTCGCCCGTGAGGATGCTGAATGCAACTGCAGATAACCAGACGTTCTATGCTGGGACAAACATAGCTGTATTAGAAGGAGTCTGAGACGTTGTCGACTAAAATAGGAGAGCGACTGTTCGTTGTGTTCAGATTAAGTATTCGCAACCGATCCATTTGGAAGAACTGGCTCAAGTATTAAAAAAACTCACTCTCTGAAGCACAGGAAAGAAAGGTGGATAGGTTTATCTGCGCCTATCAGTCCTTCTTTTCCGCATGTGATGCTGATCTTGGAAGGACTACAAAGGCGCGACACAGAATTAAAACAGGAAGCTCGAGACTAATAAAACTACTCCTGAGAAGAGTTCCGATTCAAACCAGAGAAGAAATTGATAAGCATGTGAAAGGCATGTTGAAGAAATGGATATTTTCACCATCTTCCGTGGTAGTTACCAGTTATGTTAGTAAACAATAGGATGGCACAACAAGATTCTGCGTCAACTATCGTGCATTGAATGCATACCCTCTACCCTATAAAGACTCATACACTCTACAACGGATTGACGAGTCGCTTCACTCGCCATCAGGAGTAACTTGGTTCTCGACCTCAGACATTATAATTGGATATTAACAGATCAAAATGGATCGAGAAGATCTGTAGAAGACAGCATTTCCCACTAGACAAGGTTTATACGACTTCAATTTTATGTCGTTTGGGATCTGTGTTACACCATGTACTTTTGAAGACTGATGGAGTAGGATCTATCATAAATGCTTTGGCAGATATGCTTGGTGTGCCTCGATGACATAATCATCTTTGGATTCACTTATGAGGAGAATTGGATCGTATGAGACAGGTTTTAGACAAATTGCTGGAAACTGGACTGAAACTTAAGCCCAAGAAACGTCGTATGCTTAAAAAAGCAGTTCAAATATTTGAGACATACTCTGTCGAAGGAGGGTATATGTGAAGATCCAGAGAAAGTGTCTGTCGTTGTCGACTGGATAAGCCCAACATTGCAGACAGAACTTAGCAGCTTCTTAGGACTATACTCATACTACCGACGATTCATATAGGGAATTGCTGGTATCGCAAATACCATCGCCTGACAGGTAAATGGGACACTTTTTGTCTAGATTGAGAGTTGTCAGTCGTCATTGGATGAGTCGAAGAGGCTATTGACAACGAGCACTGTATTATCGTGCCCATACTCAGAAAAGATCTTTATTATTGATACAGATGCTAGCAATAGTAGACTTGGAGCAGTTCTCTCGCAAGTTCACAATGGTTGCAAGAGGGATGTAGTATATGCTGGTCGATCGCTACCGAAAGATAAGAAAAGATATTGCGTGCGGAGAAAAGAGCTATTGGCGGTCGTAAAATTTTTGAAATATTTCAAGCATTACCTATATGGAAGACAGCGGTGAAGAAAAGAAGATCGGTAACACTAATAATGTGTACGAATTTCATTGGCGTTAGTGAAACAGATGTCATACATGTTATCATCAGCAAGATTACAGTATTGATCGTGTACTGAAGAACTCGCCAATTACGGCAGAGATTTGAAGCTCAAGTGTACGGCGTTGTGGAAATGTGGAATCATAACTAACCTCGACTTTTAAAATTTGACCCAAAATTTCGAAGAATGGTCTAAGACATTGATGAGCCGGACATCAAGCCTCTGAATCCTTGTGGCAGTTGACTTGCAGTAGTGTTCATGTACTGAATATTTGATTCAGTTCTTTTTGTTTGGATTTCATAAATTTCTTACGAAACAAACGTTCTCTTATTTTCTCTCCTGTTTGTTTTTTTTCTCCCTGCCTCGTTCCAAGAAAGTGTTATAACTTTCTTGCAGATAAGAGCAAATTCTTACCGAGATTCACATTAGGAATGCCTTCAACATTTTTGGCACGGACACAAGTAACTCTCTTAGCTGTAATGGTTTACTGTTTCATGTTCCCATCTTTCATTTACATGAACCTACATTTCACTAATCATTTGACAGAATTAAGACAAAAATTGACCAACTTCAAACAAATCTGTATATTGTTGACCACTGCAATACATACAATAATAGAACAGCTTATCAACTGAATCCTGCCTTTTGTTGAACTCGAGAATCGCTTTGTTTCACACGCTTCTAATGATGGTTCTTATAGCTACGCAAAGTTCATCATCCCAATGACTTGCTGATCTGACATATATCTAGGAATGGTTCTAACTGAGAAGCAATGCCCTTGAAAAAGTGGAATTAAACCACAAATCATGGCATCTTTACACATTCTTTAACAACTTCAAATATTTTTTTTACCCAGAGTACTCTGCAGCCTTCACATTCTCAGATACTTTTTCCCATACAGTAATTGCTCTGTCACAAACTGGACGTTTTCGAGTCACCTGTAACAAACAAATTTCAAGTACATTATGGAGGTATCCGTCACTTACGTAACTCATTACCAACAACACAAAATTAACTACAAAGCTTATCATTTAATAACAAATTTCATCATGTTTTTTTATAATGATATGCGTATTTTTTCGTTTATGAATGAATAAAGAATACGAAAATGTAGGTTTCTGTAATCATGCAAGCCCGTAACTAAATAAGTCGACCACAATGATGTATTTCATTATATTAAATAACTATATTCTGAAAGATATATAAAGTTAAAGCACTTACTAAGAAGTTATAACGTGTAGTACCTTATTTGAACTTGTTTGTCGTCATTCTAATATCCTACATGACCACACATTTGCTTCTCCCACTTCTTTTTCATTAAACTTTCTTTCCAAAAAGAAAAAAGCTATGACAAACACAAACTCGGATAGAGTATGAGGATCTTGGAGAGCACGATTTCAGCAACGTAGTGTTTCGCCAAATTCCGTGAGAGGAGGTTCGATGCAAGAATTAAAGACGTAGAGACTTACAATGTGTTAACAATATTATTGCCTAAAGACGGTAATCCTTTGATTTGGGACTACGTGTCGTTTTATGTGTTGCGTCTATTGATCGCATTGGCTCGCATGAAAATTCCCTGGGGCATACTATAATCATTTCATGAAACGACACGATTGCAAGGACATCAAGTGCTTATCTCCTTACGAGATAGTTGTTTTGAAGTTTATGTGATTGGCGATACATACATATTTATCTATGTGTAAAGAAGAGATTGGTCGGACACTGTCCACAGTTACCAAGAATTGTGCGTCGCTAGATAAGTATACGGACAGACTTAACATTGGAGCTATCTATATGATTAAAAAAAATGGATTAGAAAAAAGGATTGCTCAAAAATAGTATTTACAGATGTGTCAGCCGTTACAAAAACGAAAACATAAGATAAATCCCAAACAATTAATAATACCATGACTCAGGAAAAATAGAAGCGAACAAAACTTCCTTAAAACAGTTTTGGTTCATGTATTGTATGATTTGGAAAAGTATAAATAAATAAGAAGATATTTTATACAAACCATCTAGTTTCATCTGTCTTATCTTAATTCTAAGGCTGTATGAAAGTTGTGGACGAAAGGTCTAATCATCAAAGAATGAAGACACATGTCAGAATCATATCCTTATAAGTTCAAATTGATATAAAAAGTTGAATATTAATGATAGGCACATACAATTTTAATATGTGTATATTTTGTGTATACTGACTTTAAAAATAGAAAAATGGAATTAAAAAATGTTTTTTTAATAAAAGAATAGTAAATCAGTTTTTAAAAGTTAAATTTAAATTATTAACTCACCAACCTCAGCCGCTCCGGTGGCCTAGTGGTTAGAGCGTCCGCCTCGGACGCGGGAGGTCGTGGGTTCGATCCCCAATTGAGTCATACCACAGACTTACAAAAATGGTACTAATAGCTGCCTCGCTTGACGCTCAGCATTTAGAGTTAGTGTTAGGACTGGTCGGCCTGGTTTCAGAATAATGTGACTGAGTGGGACATCATGCTACATGTCGGCGGCATGATGCCCCAGTGCTAGACATCACTATAAACTGCTACACTGCAGACATCGTAGCAATATGACTGAAAAATTGTTAAAGCTACGTTAAAAATCATAATCACATCACATCACCAACCCACCCAAAATTGCACGTATATAATATTTTTTGGCAATGATATATTAAATATTATCAGCATCGATGTATTCTGTTATGTGACTCATACAAAAGTATTAAATAAAAGAATGAAGCCAACAAAGTAGTAGGAGAAAGTAAGAATCCGAGCTCAACAACCCCTCTCCCCACCCCTCCAGACCTCCAAACAAATACAAAATACCTAGGTAACGTAATAGAACACCTGTTGCAATCAATAATTGCGCTAAGAATCCGAGCTCAACAACCCCTCTCCCCACCCCTCCAGACCTCCAAACAAATACAAAATACCTAGGTAACGTAATAGAACACCTGTTGCAATCAATAATTGCGCTAAGAATCCGAGCTCAACAACCCCTCTCCCCACCCCTCTAGACCTCCAAACAAATACAATAGAACACCTGTTGCAAAATATCTAGGTAACAGGTAAAATTGAATTACGTGATCTTCCAAAATAGGCAAAATGATGTGTCAGACTCAATTTTCCAAATCATTACGATTTAGCAGAGCGTGGCGATTGTGGACTAAATTACGCATTAGAATTCCATTAAGGTAAGTGGTATTATATAAAATTTTATGTTATATCATACTTCTTTTGATAATCTTTCTCATATTTGCTGATCCTCATGGGTAGAATATCTGTTAGCATGTTGTCAATAATACGAATTTCACGTATTAAATCGTCCATACTATATTTTACTCCTCGTAGGTAAGATCTTATTTGATCAAGTAGTTTTTTGTAAGTTATAATTGATGTTAAGCAGCCGTGCTTTTTTATCGAAATTTTAGGTTCAACTTTTTTACAAGCTGCTGTAAGAGAAACACCAACACCGGATATGATTAACAAAAACGGGTTTAATGATATACCACTTGAAATTATGCCAGAACTAGTCATTAACAAGGGTAGATATGATATTACTCGAAGGATCTTGTTATAATATTTGTAGCATTTTTTTACGCACCAAAGTTTTTTGTGATAATATTTGTAGTATTGTATTAGTGCGTCCACATCCTGTCCTGGAATATCTTTTGAAATATGATTGAAATCAACTATACTTTTTTCATTATAATATTTGTTCACATAATCTTAGGCTTGATTAAGTAACTAGTTGAGGTGTTTCAGCCACAAATTCCAGACAATACCAATATGACGCAGCAGTTAATTTTTTGTCATCTGCTATTAGCATAAAAGTTTCTTCAACATCTTTGTTTAACACAATAGACACGGTTCCAGAGAAATTATCAGTCGAGTGACGCCATGGAAATAAGGTAAATATATTAAACTTTACACTGCTAAACACGGACAATCTATACACACCAGTGACCTCTGCAGTATGTTTGAGAGTGTTATTTTGCGGCGACCAAGTAGACATTCCAGAAGCAACAGTATAGACAATATTTTTAATCTGCTTGTGAGGAATTTTAATCATACTCGTTTTCTCAACAATACTAGGAATTCCACTAATAATATCGTTGAGTTTTGTGTTAATATTATCGAGTGTAATATCAACAGACGGCGGACTTCCAAAAAATTCGTTATTGGTTTTGTTTATGTTTCTGCGAAAATTTAAAAACGTGGTGATATGATTAGTAAAATCAGTTTTGAACTTGGTGATTTCATTGTTGATATCATCAACATATTTCTTTGTTACAGCATCAAAATCAGATTCTGGTGTTCTAAGGTTAGTAATGCCATTATTGTCATGTTGAGAAACGCGTACATTATACTACCACGCACCGACACGTACTTTGATTCCTGATCATCAACATATTTCTTAGTAGCAGCGTCATTATCCTCAGTTGGGTTTCCAAGGTATGTGATCTTGTTCTAGTTCATAACAATGTTCCCCGTAAATAAATCGCCTGCTTTTCTAACATAATCGTTAACTGACCTACCCGAATCTTCTATCTTACCTTGATTATTAAAAGTAACAATATTATTAGCAACTGCAGTAGGATTTCGTACTAGTACATCTGATAGTTGTACATTACTCGTCTTTAATCGTCCTTGTTTGTCCTGGAAAACTACAACTTTATTTGGATCTACACTTGCAACGTTTAACAAATTGTTGATTTCATTTTTGAGCTTATCAAGAGTCGCATACTTGGATAAGTCACCCTGGTAACCTTCTGTTAATAAATCTACTGCTAATGTTCCAAATTTTGTATAGTAGCTCATTATACATACCGTTCTATACAAAATTGTTGGTTTAATATAACATAAAATTATACGATGGCGAAGATAATAAACTTTGACACCGAGCGATTGGTGAAGCATAAACATAACAATGAACTTCCAGACTGTCATTATCTTATTGTTGGGCGAACTGGATCTGGTAAAACAAATTTGTTATTAAATCTTTTACTCAATAATAACCTTTAACTATGATAAGGTGTATATTTACACCATCAACCCCCAACAAGACAAATACGAGTTACTAAGTGAGTATAATGATAAACTTCGTGATGAACTTGGCATTGGTGATGATATATTTTTGATAAAACAACCAGAAGAACTCGTTCCAGTGAATGAACTCGATTCATCAGAGCATAAGATAATCGTCTTTGATGATATTCCGCCAAACAATGAGGAGATGAACAAGATTAGATCATATTTTTCACTATCACGTAATAAAAGATGTAATTCTGTTTATCTTGCCCAAGGTTTTTATAATGTTTATAGGTTTATTAGGCGAAATACGGGTTGTTTCATATTATTTCCCGGACTAGATAATGTGGATGTGAGAAATATTGCAAACGAACAATGTGGTGATGTTACAAAAGATAAATTTATCGAATTATATCATCAAGCAACTAAAGATCGATATAGTTTCTTTTTATTTGACAAGCTTGCGCGTGATCCAACCAAGATGTTTCGTTGTTGCCTTGAGACGTTTCTATGATATAATTTTGTAAAGCGTATAAAAATAATGGACAAACATCAACAGAAAATCGAATTACTAAAAAAGTTTCTCGAAACTCGAGCGGCTTTTAAGAAAAAGGTGGAAGAAGCTCGACGTGGACAAGTTCAAGCAGAAGAAGAAAGAACCAAATTTTTCAAACCTGTTACTGAGGCGATGCTTGGCAAGCAGCCAGAAATACAAACATCATCTCCAGAAGAACTTGCAAAAATGAAAGAAAAGGGTTTGTTTGGTTTAATTGGAGAAAGATCAAAAGAAGAAACTGAAAAATTTGTAAACGAACTTGTAAGAAACATTGCTGATCCTGCTGCACGACAAGCTGAGTTTGACAGGCTAATGAACAATCCTCTTGAACTTCAACACGCAATAACAAGATTGACGGTTAATCCAGATGAGATAAGAAGTATGATGGAAAAATTATCAGAACAAACTGAAGAATTAACTGAGAAACAAAAAATATTACAAGAAAGTGTGATAAAAATGGTACCTTTTGGAGAATCTATAAAAATTTACAGAAGACAAGCTAGGTTTAAAATAGAATATGATGAGTATGAAGAGTTTATGAAAATAATAATATCATTGATATTAACAAAATTCGAACTTGGTCAGACGAAAACTATAACGATTTGATAGAAAAATTAGAAAGAATTAAAGAATTTGGTGAAAATGCTGATGATGAAATTAAAGATGAAAAAGATGAAAGAGATATTTTAGTATTAGCTGATCGTATTAGAGATGGAATTATAGCTGAAATTTTACTAAAAACATCAAAACGATATCGAAATAAACCAGAAGATTATAATAAAGGTTGGGATTTTAAAAGACTACTCAAACAATATGAAAAAAAACGAGATAAAAAATTACCAGAGGAAAAGAATGGATCTGGAGTTAAAGTTTTTACATCAAACGCAGACATAGTCGATCGGCTAATGCTGTTGATATCCTCTAAAGAAGCTGGTAATGAAAGTGTAGAGATTGATAACGAAATTATTGATATACTTGATCATCTAAGATCGAGTGGATTACTAACATCATCCGAGTACGAAATTTTACACCGCGATCTTATCTAAATTATTTAGTATAATACAAACAACATTATTGCTTGATTCATCACAAATAACAGGAAACAGCGCGAATTTTACAGTAAATTACAACCCACCAATAGAACTAGATCCTGCAAAACAGTATGAGATTGGATTAATTTCTTGTACTTGTTGGAACGCCATGCCGAATATTAAAACTGGGATTAATGATGAAATTTTAATCGTTAATGTTAAACAATCTCCAACATCACAAAAAGAGTTTATTGATATACAATACAAACTACAGATTCCACAAGGAGCTTATAACATTGCTGATCTAAACAGAACAATAAAAGAGCTTCTAACAAAAGCTGGTGGGAATGCTGATAATTTCGAATTAGCGGCGAATTATAACACCTTACGAGCTAGGATAACAGTGAAAAGAAATATGAAAGTCCTCTTTGAAGAAAGAAGTTTTGGAAAGATGTTAGGTTTTACTAGAGTTTTATACTATACCACCAGTGAAGATAAATCTTTGACATTTGATGGAGAACTACCAGTAGATATCACAGAAGTAAATACAATACTCATCAATTGCTCTATCGCATCTGGATCTTATACGTCAAAAGGCAACCGCGGGCAAACGATCTACAGTTTCTCACCGGAAGTCCCACCGGGTTCTCTCATGCAAATCAATCCGCGACAGATTATCTACTATCCAATAACACCTGAGAATCAAATTACAAGCATTACAATGCAACTCACAGACCAATCTGGACGACAAATAGACGTGA